GAGGGTGGTGGTGCGGGGGCCTCAGCGATTGGAGGTCTGGGAGAGTGGGTGGGGGGCAGGGGGATCATGGCAGAGCCCCCGCACACAGTGTGGGGCAGCAGGGATCACCCCCCACCTGGCAGCAGCTGGTTAGTGGGGGCTTTTTTTTTAGCAACTGGGAGCTGGGACAGGCAGGGCAACCATGGGGGGCAGGCTGGGGAATCAGGCAGGGGATGGTAGCTGGCAGGGGTCCCCACATTGTCCCCTCCTCCAGCCTCTCCTCCCCCACCCCTATTTACCATCACAGGGCGTGTCCACACATGCAAGCACATGCACTTGCAGCAGCTCAAATAGAAGCAGTGCAAATTTGAGCCAGAGCTATTTGCTTCAGCGCATGTGCTCAGACATGCACTTTGTTGTGGAGCAAATGGTGCTCCTTAGTGCAAAATAATCCTGCCTGGCTTCTCCCAGATCTTCAGCCAGGGGGAGCTAAATCCCAGGACAAGCACCTGTGCTGTCCCCAGCAGTATAAAAAGCGGCCCTGTCCTGCCCCAGCAGTATAAAAACCCACCCTGGCAAGTAGCTCAGGGCTACTAGCTCCCATGAGCTTCTGGGGCCCAGTCAATTGGTACCTGGGGACACTACCCCTTGTGCCAGCTGGACTGCTGAAACAACCCTGAGAGCTCCCTGCACCCTCTACCCACTGCAGCAGTCTGGCAGTGGGGGCTGCTGCCTGGCTGTGAGACTCGGATGGGGACTGCAGAGCCAGTAGAGGCCTCTGCCCCTCTGGGCCATCTGCCAGTGGACTGTGGTTGCAAGGTTGGCCTTTGCGGCACTACTGCCATTTGTGCCCCCTGCCTGGCCACCTGGGCAGCTATTGCCCGGAAGATGTTCCAGGTGTGGTGGCCTGCTTTGAACTGTCAAAGTATGTCCTCCTGGCCCCATTTGACCAGGAGGTCAGCCACTTCCAGGTGGGTCCAAGGTGCTAGCTCTGAGCAGGCTCCTCTGCCTGGGTGCTGCCACTTGCCTCCCTAGCAGGAATTCTGGTGTTCCCTATT